GAGAAAGTAGACGGTGGTGTTGCGTGCGGGAGAGGAGGAGGATTCACGATAACCTGTAGGTTAGATCTGGGGGGGGGGTGAGGAATGAGGGGAGTGGAGGGCGCAGTGGTGGGGGGGAGGGGTGTTTTTGTATCCTGTTGTGCTGAACACAGAACGAGAGAAAAAAAAAAAAATAGCTATCATACAAGGAAACGAGCAAAGAAGAAAGTGGGCAACTGGTGACAAAAACCACGCCTGGTGATATATAATGGCCCGTCCTTCGCAAACTATTACGCGAAATACAGCTCGTTACCGGTATAACGTCTGATACACATACCAAAATTGTCTATTATTACTACTATTCTAAAGGGGAGGCATGAGAAGGATACCGGTACAGGCGTGAAGTGAAAGCTTCAAGCAAAACGTGAGCATCTCCAAACTTCGAATGCTCGCAGCGAGGGGCAAGTCTGACGTGCTAATCTAAAAGTTACATCGAGATCCAACTTAATGGCCAACCGTTAATCCACGGTGCTCGAGTATCATAATATCATATCCAACCTCAACCTGATCATGCAGGTCTTTCTTTTCTTAACCCCCCAAACTTCACCCTTCCTACACTTGAAGCCTTCAGAATCCCTCTAGCTGGGGTTCCCTTACGGTGCATACAACACAATATCTCTTACTGTACGGTACTGTACGGTACATACCGCAAACTGGTACAGTACTGTACCAGTATTAGTACACCAACTGCGCAGTTACGAGCCTCTGAGGCGCCTAGTCTGTGGCAGCTAATCTGAGCTCTCTCGACCCAATGAACCAAAAGTCGGGTTGGGCATACCGGTACGATAACCCCCAGCAAAATACCATTCCATCAAGACTGGCCAAAAATGTGGTGCGTTGTCCAGTCCAATCCGAACCTCCCACTCGAATCCATTTCCTCTTTCGACCGGCGCCACAAAAGCGTGAGCGGCATTAAGAGCAATTGGTCCATTCAGAGCTCGCCCTCTTTCCTAGGCTCTCTTAGCAGGCAAAAGCAAAGTTGCAGTCAAGTAACAGCCACTCGAGTACAAGTACGACCTAATCATCATCATACGGGATTGTATCATAGGTACCCTACTGGTGTATGATACCCATACCCGTGCAATACGGTATCTGGGATGATATGCACCTTCCGCGCATTGGACCAAAATCAGATCCGGAAAGGAGGAAGGGAAAAAAAAAGGGGACTCGACGGTATATTACAGAAAAGAAGCGAGAATAACCGGCGCCTGGGATTGTTGCTCGAGCTCTCTCACCTACGATATCCTATCAGCACCGGCAGGTTAGTTTTGTCGCGTCCGAATCTGTCCCCCGTCTTCATTTCGTGACATTTCGTGACATTTCCGCGTGGAGACACGGTCACCACCGCATTATAATACCGGTACCTATGATATGCTACTTCCCATTGTCGGGAGAAGGACGATACCGGTATAGACCGGAAGCTGTTTCTGAACACAAGATCAGTTGATCGCAGTGATCTAGTTAATCCGCTATTCTTGGACTTACACTGCCCTACCAATCGCGTCGATCCAAACTTTTCTTCATTTCGCCATCTACCCCACAAGCGTTAAAAGGTCTTCGATCCGAGACAGCCCAAGTCTGGAGAGACGCCCCCGTCTCCTTATCGACAAGAAAAGAATATCCGCCTCTGCCCTACCCTATCTAGCCTTAAAAAACCACAGACTCCTTCCTGCCTTTCAAAGAGTGTCAGAAAACGCGCGCTCAAGTACCGTATATGCTACAATCTTCAGCTGCAGCCATCACGAGAACCGTTACATCTATTTAAACAAAATGGAATAGAAAAACCACAGGGGTTTCCGAAAGTCCCACTTACCGGTGTGTGCGATGCCCTACCGGTGCCCTCCCCCCGGATTACGGATTTTTTGTCCTCTGTCAGTTCTAGACTTTGATCCCCCCCTACCCGCGGGGAGGTCTGCGACGTGTTCGAGATGTTGGTCGAGTTAGTCGTGGGAGAGCTCGAAGCTTCGCAAGCGTCCCGCACTGTGCATACCGGCACTCGAACTACTGTACTCGTACTCGTACGTGCTCCTAGCATGCGGGTGTGATATCCTTTCTTTCCCTCGTCAACCGAAAAAGCCGACATTCAGACAGTACAGTACTACCATAGTGCACTCGCGCTGTAATTGTGCGCACCGTACTGGTACTCTTGAAAATTTTACGACCGCAGTTCAATGCATCCCCAAACGCGGCGGAATCCATGCTGTGGAAACGGGAGATGATCCTGCAAGAAGCAGCCGGGAAATCACATGGCGTCGGTGGGGACCGTGACCCGTCGGCGGTGCACAATCTCCACCCTCTTCGATGACTCGTTCACCTCCTGAGCCCAGTGCCACACGGGGGCCCTACCGGTACTCTAATTATCGAGCCGTAAGTACAAGTGATACCGTGGTTGATTGATTGATCGCGGGTAATCAATTCCGACTTTTCAGCTCCAAATTGTCCACTCAAGAGAGCTCAGAAGGTGCTTGCCCGTTCCTGCACTCGAGTACGGTACAGTGCTTGTATGCACATTGCAAATACCAGTACTACGCCAAGGCGTTTCACCAAAAATACCCCCACGCCACAACCGCGGTTCCCTGAGGGTTTCGAGCCACTCTCAAGGTTAAGGCTAACTCATACTATACCGGTATATCATTCCCCCATCGGCACCAACCCGCTGGGTACGGTCCACTCACACACGCAGGGGGGACGCCAGTTCAGTGTTCACAAAGGCTCACTCGAGCCGACCAGGGTACGGTGGACAACGCATAGATATTGGAGTATACTATTACCATCATACATGTATCGGGATTATGGGGTGACCCCCTTTTCCGAGGACGTGAAGGGGTTGATGGGGCTGCCTTTGGGGGTCGGGACCATTCCCCGTGATGGCAGGTGTTACCGGCCCCGTATGATACTCGTAGGGATGCGCAGGTGGAGGAGGAAGGGAAGGGGAGGGTTCGGGGTGTGGAAGGGCCCGTCGGAGGGAGGGAGGAAGGAAGAAAGAAAGAAGGGAGGGAGGGAACATGGGGTGTCACTCGGGCTCCGCCGGGCTGCGAGGGTTTTCTTGATGCAAAAGGACCGGATTGTGCTTCTGAGAGGATGACACCGCATCGCCCGGGTTCGCTTATAGTTTAGCGATGAGGATACCTATAGAAACCAGAATAGGGGAATGGGAAATGGGAAGAAGGGGGGGGGATATACCGGCACTGTACGAGTACGTTGGTATGATAGGTTTGCATTCTACATCAAAAATGATCTGGAAACCTTGCTTTGCTTTGATTGCTCAGATAGATAAAATAATAATAATAATTAAAGTTTGATGAATTTCTCAGAATCCATACATGGAATTTTGTTCCGAGAAGAGAATGATAATAATAGTAACAATTTAAGCTCTGTTGATGGGCTTTACTCGTAGGAAGGAAATATTACTCGTGGAAGCGTTAGGGGATGGATGGAAGGATAATGTGAAAGGCATCATCATACATTACAACCACCTCATGAACAAATCTTAGCCATCATGCCCACACAGTTTTTTTTAATTTTTTTTTTAATTTTCCTTCTTCACTGAAATACCGGTAATCTAAGGAATCGAAAAGCACAATACTACCCCGACCAACCCCATCCATCCATCTTGTTTTCCAGCGTGAGTCGATATCACAGCAACCTATCATATCATACTCATAAACTTTTGGTCGTGAGGCTCTTGTGAGTACAAGTACCGTAGTGCGCGGGGGGGGGGGGGGGGGGGAACCTACGATGTCGAAAGCCGGGCAACAAGAAAAAGGGGGATCAACAATACACAGCCCTGAAATCCCGTGAAAAAGGAATGAGAACGAATTTTAGAGAAGAAGAAAAAAAAAAAAGAAACCCCCACCCCCTTTTTTTGGTAATCTGCTTCGTCCCTAGAAAGAAAAGAAAAAAATTTCAACATGCAGTTATAGCTTTTCTCCCCTTTTCCCTCCGCTCCACTCCACCCCTCGTCTACATGGCGAGGGTTGTTACAGTAAAGCACAGTACAGTGCGAGTAGTAACTAGTGATGCCATGATGACCATTTGATTTCGTGTGCAGTGTAGTACTGTGATGATTTGGTGTTTTGTCAATGTAAGGAGAGGTTCATCCTAGCGGTACCTGGAACTTCCGAGGTAGATCTTCGGGTTCCAGACTTGTGGTGGTTCGTCTGATATCATACATCACGACAGCTGTGTTCATGAGCCATAGGGAGTTGGGGTTTTTCACAGAGAGATCGGTCGGATCTATTTATCGACTACAGTAGGTTGTGATGGATGATTTGCTATCTGTCTATCTATCTATCACAGCTGAGGCGCGATATCTTTAATTCCTTGGTGGGTAGGGGGAGGAGAGCTCGGCAGTGAATGGGGGGGGGTGTATCAATGATTCTGAAGACTACTTGTTAGCTATTCTGGAGGGTGGGGGTTTCTCTCGGAAGATCCTCGCAGGGGGGTATTGTGTGGTAGTCTAGTTGAAAGGATGGAGAGCATGAGAAAGAAAAAAAAAGGCAAAATAAACATTGACATTGACTGGCGGTGCCCATTAAAGTATCGTAACAGCCCACTGTCACGACTAGACTTCCCCTCGGACGGGTGTGCCCACGGGATGCCGGGGAATGGGGTACGATACGGTACTCGAGAAAATATTTGGGTGTGATATATAGGAAGTGAGAATATTGATTACACCCGTGCCAACAGTACAGTACTGTACTGTACCGAACCTATAATAGCAATAGCTAAGCAATTATTATAGCCCGCCGTATCTTAAGTATAAACATTCCTCACACTTCTTCGGACATGTCTTATGATATCATGATTTATATAAATAAAACCCGACGCTGCAATTACCCCCCACACACAAAGCATAAAACGGTATGATACTGTGCATAATATTTCTCTTTTCTATGATAGTAGGAAGTCCAACCACCCGGAGAGGACCAATCAATCAATCATCGTACGATATACGTACACTCACTACAATACAATGATGACTATTCCCTTTTTTTTTGTTCTCCCGACTTGTAATGCCACGGCATTTTCTCTTCTACGATATCCTCGATTTCCTCCGGTATTTCAAGTTGGATCTGGAGGGGATTTACTGTTGTTTCTCTCTCTTGGCTTCTATCATTCCCCCCCGGTAGCGGTAGGTGTATCGAGTCTTGAATTTGTAATACGATATATTTGCTTCCGTTCGTAATTATTGGTGACTCTGCGTGTGGGGGGGCTTGTGTGGGGTAAAATACTATACCGGACTGATGGCCTGGTCCTTTCTAATGGCACTGTATGCCCTACTGGTACGCACGTGCTCGAGCACGTAAAGCGGGGTAAGTAGTAGTACCGGTATTATGCCTTCACTGCTGGTATGGTATGGTAGTATCACACTCCATTGTATGATATTCCCCCCGCCTGACTTTCAGAAACCCAACCTACAACATCCCCAGTGATACCTCATGATCTCAATCAACCCGACGTAGAATGTGGTATCACCCCTATCAGCAGCGCACAATTCGGGCAGCATCATAAGCAGCTCCCCGCGATCCGCAACCCGTAAAGTATTAATAGCAACGCTCCCGCCGGGAATTCAAGCCCGTCCGTCCGTCCCCCGCGTTCGAGCTGTAGACGTACGCATGCACGCATGCATCTACCCACCAGTGTAGGATCGTGTGTGGGGAGTGCACAGCTCTGCGGACGACCATCTGTTATATAGCCTATACACTGATACACAGCAGGAGATGTGGCGTTACCGTGGAATAGGTCGGCAATTTGCAACCTCTTCGCATGTTTATAATATGGTTACGATACTGTACGATACCACCGGTGCGGTGCGTTGGGCGCGGTACATGAAATATCGCAAGACTGCAGCCCTTCGTGACGATGGTCGCAGTGGCAGCGCACACGATTTCTCATCGGATGGGATGTCCCGGACGCTTTTTTTTTTTTTTTTGCCAGGGCTGCTGTGTCCGTCCGCCCATCCGTCCTGCGGCGGCCGCGGTATGATAGTATGATGGGGGGCTGTAATGGAACCTGGGTTAAACTGTGAGGGAACGGTGGTACTGATAATGCGGCGCCGGTACCGTATTCGTGTAGTGGCGAGCGAGGTTTACAGGAAACCTGCCCCAGAGTACACTTTACGGGTAGACTTTGGCAATGATTTTCCACGGAGCGCTGTTTCAGAGTATGGTACCGGGGTTCTACCTTTAGGTGGAGGGGGAGCTGTCGGAAGATGTCCTCGTTTGTCTCTGATTGAGGCATATATACAAGTGCAGTGGTCGAGCACTGTCCCGGTACTTTACCTGGCTGCTATGGTGGCAGATCTGGTTTAGCCGGGTGCCCACAGGCAGGCTACTCGCGGTCGGTGTGCCGTAGACTAGACTACTCGTACGGTATGATAGCAACTGGATAGCTCAACGGTGTAGCTAGCCCGTGTGATGCAAATAATAGGTGGCAAAACAGCCTAGAATTCCTTAGTATCGTGACAGATCCTTTTCAAAGAGTTATTGGCCAGGTCACAGTCGAGACTTATGTATGATGTTTCCTGTTTATGGTTAAACTTCCATGCTACCGGTAAGATCTCCGCCCTTTGCACTAAAACTGTGTGATATCAGGGAACAGACGAAGTGATTCTCCTACCGGCAGTCCGCTGCTCGTCCCGTACTGTAGCCACCCATTCGCCAAGGGTTGAAAATCGCCCTAGGAATAATCAGGGTATGGTATTGGTAACCAAATCTTCCTATTCAAAAAGAGAGGGAAAAAAAAAGAAAAAAGAGAAACCGGACCAAGCTAAACCAAACCCAAAACATATACACATTAATATCATATATATAAAACTGCCCCCCCTCCCTTCAAGTTACCCCTCCTTAACAAACACCTCATCCCTCCCAACCCCAACACCGCCGCTCCCCATCCCCACTACTAAATCTATGCTTGCAACACCACCTGGCTCTCCGCCATCTGCCTCTTGTGGGGTACCAACACCGCCGGCACCACCACTCCGTCCATCATGGTACTCTTCCCTCTTCCAAAACTTCCTGTCGCCGTGCACGATGCGCACAACCCACGGGGGGAAAAAGCCCCCGGGGATACGCCAAGTCCAGTGGTCCTTCAGCTCCTTGCCGTAGGGCACGATGCGCCCGCCAGACATGATCTCGATAAGCCAGGCCCCCGTGTTGAGGATGATGTAGGTGATGATGCCGGCGATGAGGCCGTAGGCGATGGAGTAGGTGAACGGCATCACCATGATTGTCACGAATGCCGGTATTCCGTCGCCGGGGTAGGACCAGTTGATGTCTGCGGCCGCCTTCATCATCATGCTGCCCACGATGATGAGTGTGGAACCGGTGGCCCAGGGCGGGATGCTGGCAAATATGGGGGCGAAAAAGACGGAGACGAAGAAGCAGATTCCCGTCACCATCGCTGTTATCCCGGTTATTCCGCCTTCGGAGATACCGGCGCCGGACTCTATATACGCAGTCACAGGCGGGGATCCGAAGAGCGAGCCTAGGGAGATGCCCATGGCGTCGACGATGTAGGCCATGGCTGAGCCCTCGAAGTCTTGCCCAGTGGAGAGCATTAATTTGACGGCATTAGGGTTCGGGGAGGAGGGTAGGTACCTTGAGTACGCTCGTCTATGAAGCCGGCGAAGCGTGCCATTGAGTAGAGGGTTCCGGTACAGTCAAGGATGTCGACATAGAGGAAGGTTACAAGTGCTAAGAGGTTAGTTGGCGAGACAGGTTTCATTTATCGGGCCTCACTCACCCAAGCCAAATTGACCACCGGCTCCGGACAAGTCCCATTCCTGTGCGACGAGAACTTTTTCGATCTATCCATCGTGAGCGGAGAGGGTCTCGGGCGAGAGGATAGTGGGATACCTTGTGGAAAGCAACCACATTCTTGAAAAAGTCGAATCTCTGATTTCCCTCGGAGTTGTAAGGGAAATAGGTAACCTCAGTGGGCCTTGGCCAGGAGATGATCGATACAAGAGCGATACCGGCAATGATGGCACCCTTAACCCTACAATCTGATCAACAACCGCCACCACCGCCACCTCAAGCGCGGGGGGGAGGGGACCAACACCTACCGATACATCATCAAAAAAGCGGTAACAATCCCGCCGCAAAAGATGCCAATCCAAAGAGTCGGATTCCTCATCTTGTGCCCCTCGCAAACCCCGGTAATTTCGTCCTTAAACTCGGGCTTACATCCGGCTAGATCCAACGGAGTCGATACGGCGCCGGTGACCGCACCGATACCAGCGGAATACGTCAGCCCGATAAGCGCAAGGTAGAGCCCGATACCAGCACCGGTAGCGAGTTTGATGGAAGCAGGGATAGCCCTGGCAAGCCACTGTCGCAGTCCCAATATCGATAGGCCAACGAATATAAACCCCTCCACAAAGACCGCCGTCACGGCGAGTCTGTAGGGCACCGGCCCCGAGCCGTGATACCCAACGACTTGGTACGCAAAGTAGGCATTAAGTCCCATACCGGGCGCGCATGCGATGGGGATGTTTGCTCCGAGTCCCATGAAGAAGGATGTCAAGGCGGCGATGGCGGCGGTTGCGGTTACCAGGTCTCGTTGTACAATGCCCACGCATAGCATGTATTCTTCGTTCTTGTCGCATACCCGGTCTTCTGGTGTTGGTGTGCAGATGCAGGTTCCGCCGGACTGTGATGTGATGTTTGCATTTACCTACATTTTTGCCCGGGCAGGGTTCAGTTTAGGGCCCCGAACCAGCCCAATTGCGAATTGGGGAAAGAGAAAAGAAGAAACTCTTACAGCAATGATATAACTATGCCTCACAGACCAATTTTGGAGAGCAGAGTTAGCAGAGGGAAACGCGGTATAGTGAGGGGGAGGGGGGGAAATCGATTCCGGTGAGGGGCATGTGAGCGAGCGGGAAAGGGCAGGGATGAGGGGGAGGCGAACGCCATGGCAAAGAAACTAAACTCGGGAACTATTAGCAACCGTGCAGCGGGCGCAAAAGCCAAATGTTTTAGACCAAGGGTCCCGGATTAATTGTGGGTCGGTTGATTGACACTCACGTAGCAAGACCAGCACGAATCTCCGTAAAGAATCGCGAGCCCTTTCGCTCCTTCCTGTGGCCAGAGTGCTCCAGTCGAAAGTATCGACCGAATGAGCTGTTGGCCACCCGTCTGTTTGCCCGATCGATCCAAGTCATCCTGAGGGATCGAGTTTGAATTGGGTCTCCTATTCACCACCCTCTCTCTCTTCCGGAGACCTTTCCACTGGATACCCGCAGGAGGTTGGAGGGAAGGGGTATATTGTATGAGGACAGGGTCGTATGATAAAAAGAAGGACAGAAGGGGCAGGGTGGGAAAAAAGTATGGGAACTGGATAAAAGCTGTCCCAATCCAGATGGAAATATTTTATTCTGATGGACCCACTGGTCCTTATTCTCCCGTTTGGAAACCCAAATTTCCTACAACTGCAGTCGTAGATAGTATCTTGTCACTCACTTCCTCGCGGGTCCCCGGGACTTGATAAATAGATATCCCCAGAGCGGACCTCGCCCTCTTATCGCATGCGAGTAGAGAGTGGGGGGGAAAAGACAAACGAGAAACTAGTTCCTCCTGCCTGTTTGTCCGCAGGGATGTTGGCGATAAATGGATAGCTATGATTGCAAACAAGCAGGAGAGGGTTTTCTTGATGGAAAAAAAAAAAAGAGGAAGAGTAAACTCGTAAAGCCTCGCCTTACCGACGGGCAATCACAATGATATCAGTCCTTGCCTTGCCTTCTCTCCTTAAGACACCGTGTCATGCAATCTCCCTCCCAGTCCAAAGCTCGGTCCGTACGCATGTAGCCCAGCACGGTATGGTCCAGTTCGTTCCAGCAAAGTCCACCCCAATCCAATCCAATCCAATCCTTCTTTCTCCCTCTCCTCTCTACCTTCCCATGGTTCGTCCAACGCTACCAAAGAAAAATACCCTCGGCAGGTCCACAAATCTCGGGGGCTATTTACCTCTATTCCATTCCTACTCCCATCCTGGAAAGTAGATTCCTCCCGAGAGGGGAAGGAGGGAGGGAAAGAAAAAAAAAAGGACACCGCCCAGTAACAACCCCAGCTTATCCTGCCCCTCCGAATGGTTGAGTGTTACAATCCGGGTTGTGTCTACTGTACTGAGTGCCGGTAATCGTACTGTGCAGCGATTGGCTAAGCTGGAACAGAAACGGGTGCCATAGGCCCAGGAGGATTACCGGTACTCGAGTACAAGTAGAAGCAGCGAGGCAGGGTGAGAAAAGATCGGATCAACTGCACCCCCCCACTTCCGTACTCTGTGCAACCTTCTGAATGAGTGGGGAAGAAGGAGGAATGGGTGGTGGAGACGGCCAGGGTGAGGCGTTGGTGTTGCAAGGTTTGATATTGCACTGCACGAGTACTCGAGTACCTTGCTCCACTACATGTGTACCTACGAGATTGGTATTTTATTATACGGTACTTTACGGTGGAGGATGATGCACGAATACCGTGGCAGTGGCTGAAACCTTAGGTCTGTGCTATACAGTACTCTTAGGAGCAACGATGTTCACGTTGCCTAATAATACATGTTCATGGTTCTTCATGATGTTGCGGCGGCCGTGAATTCGTTAGCTCGCTTGGCGGAGGAAACCTGCCTCCCGGCAATTTGTTCCCGGGTAATAACCGGGTGTGACAATTGTGTCCTGCCCATGCCTCTGCACTAACAATGGAGACCTCCTTTGGAATGGCCCAGGCAGGCCCACAAAAGGCATACGGTAGCACTCGGGTTAATTGGACGACTGTGATGGTGGCACAAGATGGTGACATCTGTGAGGGCGATATCACGATAGGACAACACCCCCTTCTACATTGATTGCAGTGCTGCAAGTTTCATGAAATTGGGTTGATACATTGGTCCCTCCTGCGATGGAAGCCTTTATTGTACACAAGTTAGAACCAAACTTAAGAGTTAGTACCATGAAGAGTATGACAAATGGGAAAAGTCCTATCATACAGTTCTGAGATGTATGATGCTAGTACAGGTATCATGCAGTAATATCGTACTCATGCTCAGACTTCAACCCCGGAACCCACCGCAACCCGACCAAGCGCCGGCGATTACCCTACAGTAACACACCCTTACCGCAACTATCAATCTATCATACCCGCATATCCCCACCGTCCCGCTCCGGAGGAACCAGAACAAGAAGGAGCTCAACCGTATGATACTCGAGTATCGTACACTAATCACCAGCACCAATATTGCAACAAGCCGTTCATCACCCCCCCCCCCCCTGAAACCTAGGTATCAAGCGAGCGAGCGGGGGATTCCGACGCCGTTAGTCGGCTTAACAAACAAAGACACTCCAGCCAACCCGCTCGCTACCCCCCGAACTACAATACCGGAATCGTACCGTACCGTACTCGTAATTGAACCATCTTTATTTTTCTTTCATTCTTCCGCTCAGATAGTATCATCGACAGCGGTCGTGACACTATCCGAATCCTTCGGACGTCCCCACCAGCCTTTTCAAATCATCCCTGCGACCACGATATCGTAGAAATCCCGCCGGTCGTCTCCGGGTCCATCTATCCATCAGTTCTTTGATACCCGTAGAAACCGGGAGGGGACGAGGTTGGGATGGACGTTAGTGCCGCCACATTCGCCAAGTTTTTCTTTAGTTTATTCGTTGTGGTTGCTATTCATTTTTCTCCCTTTCCTTGGCTTCTGCCCCTCGCGGCAATGGTGAGTTTAATGAGGGAAGCTTTGGAGGTTTGGCGTGAATTCTGATTATTATTATTATTATTATTATTATTATTCTTGCTATGGTTGGGTGCTATCCCTTGGGCGGTGTGAAACAGTAAAATTCGTTGCCACCTGCGCTTGTCCAAAACAGGATACTTGGCGCTTATAAATCTTGCGAGTGATATCAAATGAGGGCGGTCACAGGGGTGGAGGCAAGCAAATAGATATGCCTTACTACTAGTTTAAAGTTGAACACTTTGTATGAGAATTGTCACATTAGATGTCCGGCTCCAACTATTAGACCAGGCGGGGGGGTCAATAAACACAGGGGCTCAACGAACAATACACTGAAAGTGTAGTGACAAACTGCGATTTTGCTTGACCTGTTCGTTGAGCCCCTGTGTTCATTGACCCCCCTTCTGGTCTACATATTTTTGTGACGAACATCAAAACAGTTTTCACAATAAGAAGATCCACAGCCAGGTCCCATGCAGTGGTAGCGTGTAAGTGGTGCTCGTACTCCTTTTTGGTTCATCCCACGTAGAGTAAATCGACACAGTGTGCATCCTACTCTTGATCCTCCCATATGAGTAAAGCAATGCTCGATCTTATCTCCGGTAGGTATCGGAAGTGATGTTTTGTCCTGGAGAACACTATAACGAGGGGAAGTAGTTTTCCGTGAATGGTATGACTTGCGTCGTGGGGTGCGCTTCTCTCCGTATACTTTAATAATTGATTCAGCAAGATCTTGCCGAAATGTACGTGATGAACCCGGCCGGTAACTCTGCGAACTAAGAGGAAGATGACAGAGGAGAAGATAGGAATTTATGACAGTCGTGTCTAGAAGCCAGTAGAAAATTGGTGGCCAGTTACGTAGACATTTTAGCTGTGTAAAATAGTAACTACGATACTGGTCTGCCACATCTACTCCCACTTTGTAGTGATTGTAGTCGTCGGTAATAGTTGGTATTGGAATGTTTGCCCGCTCAGGAGAACCAAACACACGCCGAATAGCAGAGCCATTACTGCTGGACTTTCGTGGCTTTTTTCGCTCTGTAATAGTTCTGCCCTCTAGTGTATGTATAGTACTTAAAAAATGTACTGCACTATTATCCTGCCACTGGAGAGCGAGGACCTTTCCTTCGGAATCTGCAGGCCCCCCGGATACCTCATTCCAAGGAATATTTTTACGTTCATCGTGAAGATCGGGAGGAAAGGCAGAGCTATTCACTCTGGCTGTACCACAAGCTCCAATACCAAGGTTTCTGAGCTTAACTAAGAGAGGCAGGGAAGGAAAGTAATTGTCCATATAGATGTTGAAATGCAAATATGAGGTATAAGGAAGACTGCATACAAGCTGAAATACAGTCGAACCCGTAGCCGTAAGACCATCCTAAGGCACCACTCCTGTAAAAGAATCAGATCGTGAAGCAAAAATCCAACTATAGGTATAACCTATATCACATAAGGCAAAGACCTTATACCCCTCAGTAATTGGTTTACTGGGCATACGATAGGTATGGTGACTTCGTCCACCAAATCGTATCATCATTTCGTCAACCGTAACGTTCGAGGCCGGTAGATAGTACTTTTGACAGCGAGACTGAATTATTGTATTGAGTGGCTCGAGTTTCTGGAACCATTCTGAACGAGCAAGCTGTAGCTGTGGGTCCGAAATGTGGAGATATCGTTTGATTTGGCTAAAGCGTTCTAAACTCATTGTACGAAACATTCTTCTATCGCTTCCTCCCCTTTTGTTCCAAAACCCATGACTTCCACTTTCCCGCTTTATGCCCATGTAGAGCAAAAGTGCTAAGAAAACCCTTATTTCACCTGGAGTCACCTTCCTCCATGGACGGCCCCAAAGGCGAAGCCCTTCTGTGGTGCGGCTTCCTTCCATTATACCCTTTTGTTCCGCATATGAATTCGTTCCCTTTACCAATACATCCACAACCTCGTTATCCCAAAACAGCTCAAATACTTGCAGACTTGTGATCTGAACCTCTGAGTCCTCCCAAGGTAGCAATGGCTGTGCAACATGGTCAATACGGGGACCAAGTGGTACATATGCTCGTCGCACGGTAGGTTCCTTTAGCTGACTCGCTCTGATAAAATGGTCCTTCTTTTTCACCCGCTCCGTTCGATTTGCTTTGATTTTATGAGAGGAATTAATTGAGAGAGAAGCAAGAGGTTCTCGAACTTTATTTTGATACGACATGGTAGAGATTTCTGATATCGGTATTGAGAGCTGATAATATCCCTCGGAGTGACAGGCGATTGTTGAGGGACTGACGTTGCTGACTTACATTTTGGCCTTTCTCTCTGCGGAATAGTATCATCCATACTGGGAATAGCACGGCTGGCAACGAATTTTACTGTTTCACACCGCCCAAGGGATATATCCTATTGCGGGGGATAGTACTAGTATAGTATGATACTCGTACTGTACTAAGTACTGTACAGTACCATCCACGGTACTAATGTGATTGGTACGTGTGTGAGGCGTTCGTTTTTCTTGGTACTTGTATTATATAACTACCATAATATATAATCCGGACCCCCCCAATTGTGCCGCGGCGTATGACACGATACTTGTATCATGTTAGCACTGTACAAGTACTGTACACAGAGATATCCAACGCAGTCCCACTATTATATAACGGTACGATATGTACAAAGGGCCAACTTGAAATTTACAGATGCCGTCTTCACCCTTTATCACGCTTCATTGATACCCTCCTCCCTCTCCATGACAATTCGTAATGCTTGTAATATTTGTGGTGCATTGTACGTAACTAGCCTTACCCTTAACGGTACGCACGGTACGGTTAAAGAGCATGATTCCCACATCTTGTACAAGTATGGGAGTGTCTTGATGGTTTATAACTTCTCCGTCCCCCCCCTCTCTCCAAAAGTGTATTATTATTATTTCCCTTCTTTCCTCCCCCCCCTTCTCAATGACATGTCCAGGACTCGTAGGCTTTTCCATTTTTTCTCTTTTTTTTCTTTTCTTTCTTTTTCTTTGGGGAGATTTAGTCCCGTGTTTGTTATGGGGGGGGAATAAGTGATTGAGAGGAGTAAAGAGGAGGAGAAAAGTTTCAAGTGTCAATTTACTACAGTTTTGGACATATGCTGCTGAGATTGAAATTGGGGCCATCGCGTGAGGAAAATTACTGGGTCTCTAGCACTTCCCTCCTATTTCTGTGGCTCCCATGTGTAACGCCGAGCGGGTGGTGCCTGGTGCGTTGCCTGGCAGTATGCTCCAATCTAGGTTGAACCTTAATCATAAGAGAGACGATGAGTTCGTAGGGAAGAGGAGAAGGGGGGGGGGGTTTCTTGATTATAGAGTTTTGCACGCTCTTCCGGTATACATTCAACCATGAGGAAATAGGCGCCGTTGCCGGATATATATCGCAGTGGGTCCGGCGTGAGGGCAGGCGTGTCAGATGTGAGTGCCTGGGTGTGATCCGCTGGTATGCATGGTAGCACGGGTGGAGAAAGGGAAGAAAGGGAAGAGGGCTAAGCGCAGAAAACAGGAGTCTATAACAATTGGCCGCCCGAGTGCCCAATTGTGGTAACTTTCCAGGGCACAAGGAAAATAAGAAGAAAGAAGGCAACGAAAACCCCGGTACCATATCACTCTTTCCCCATCAAGACTACCTATAGCACCCCCTTCGTACCTGTCGAACGATCAGCCACGAGCGCCACCACCATCTCGATCCGGGGAAGGTAAAATAAAATAAAATAAAAAAACATACTAGGCACCTCATCCCCACCCGTCCTGCTCGTCGCCTCCCTGACAGCGATGGCAAGAGCCTTAAACGCGCTCTCAGCCCTATGATGATCGTTAGCCCCGCGGAGACAATCCACATGCACGGTGATCCCGGCCGCGCCGGCGAAGCTCATGATAACATGGGGGATCATCTCGGCGCTCAAATCCCCGATCTTCTCCCTCTTCAATCCCAGATCGACGACCGCGAACGGCCGACCGCTAAGGTCCACGACGGCGCGCGAGAGCGCTTCGTCCAGTGGGGCGAAGCCCGTGCCGAAGCGTTTATACCCGCGGATTGGGCCGAGGGCCTGCTTGAATGCGCTGCCGAGGGCTATCGCGCAGTCCTCCGCTGTGTGGTGGTCGTCAACTATACATACAAATTAGCAATGTGAAAGAATGGGGCCCGGGGGGGGGGGGGGGGGGGCGCACTGTGCAGGTCGCCAAGGCATTCTAAGGATAGGGACCAGCCAGAGTGCTTTGCCAAGGCGTGCAGCATGTGGTCGAGGAAGCCGATACCCGAGTTCACGCATATGGATTGGGAATTGGAGGTCTGGGTCGCGTGGGAGCCTGTCAGGTCGGAATCTGCTGGCAGGAGGGAGGAGAGGCTGCCTCCGTCTAGTGCGAGGGCGAGCTCGATTTTGGTCTCGTTGGTCTGTCGGGAATGGTAGCATGATCTTGTCGACATTTTTGCTGGTGGTGGTGGTGGTGGTCGTAGTAACAATGAGGGATATTTTGTTTGGTGGGGTTTTGGGTGAATGGTGGGATGCACCCTTTGTTATCTGATCTCGGGAAATTTGACGGGACCGATAAGAATCGTCGTCCAGCCTCCTTGGCAAAAGAAGAACAATGCGAGTGATACCTTACGATACCTGTCGTTCACGGTATAAAAATATTCAGTGTCAATGAAAATTCACATGGAACCTCATGGCAGACATCACAGAGCTATATTAAGCCGATACAGGATGCCCCACATCAGACATGTGGTCTGTCGTACAGAGGAAATAATGAAATGGAGGATGCGTGTGCACTGAATAGTAAAGAAAGAAAGTAGAAGGGGAGGAAAAAAAAAATAAACTTCCTCAATCGTGAGAAAGATACATGCTTTTTCCTGGGCACATAAAAGAGTCGAGAGACACATTACCACAGTGCAGTGTGGTCGTGGGTCTCTCTCCTTGTGCCTTTCTTTTTTTTAAATTTTTATTTCTCTTGCTTCTCTGCCAACTTTACTCCTGTGTTTTCCCCTTTCATTTACTTTTTTTCCCCGCGCATCGCGAGAGTTTAGGGGGGTGGAACGCTGGGGACCGTAACCTCGATGGCGCAGTCATAGAGAGTCACTAAGGTCTCCACGCAGTAGGCCGAGCTCTCGCCCGTGCAGCCGAGTGTCATGTTGATCCATTCGGCGCCGCATGTTGCGATGGTGATCCTATGAGCGGGGCGGCATTAGGCCTGCTCCGTTCCGGTCAAAACGGACTGTCAGCTTACCTGTGACCCAAGCACCATTGGAAGGCGAAACGCTCTTCCATACATTCCGATTCGAAGGAGTCCGCGCAGGTCTGCAGGTCCCAGAGCTGAGATGGGCACACCGCACGATTCTGTCGTCTGGTTAGATTTTATTCCCCATCTTTTTCCTTCTTTCACCGGGACAGCGACTTACCCCCGGAAGCGCGATCAGCGCGACATTCTGGCCCACTATCCCGGAGAAGATGGAGGCGATGTAGACATAATTTCCCCAATCGGGGTCCCTCCTGTGGAGATCCGCCCCTCTCTTGGCCACAGAATCCAGAGGTCCTGGGAAGGAGTATGCCGTAATGGCCGCGAGGATGAAGAGGAGGAAGGTTTTGAGGAACGACACCATGATTACTAGCTAGCTGCCTTGGTGATACCAGTACGATGGGCGCAGCAAGTATGGGCGGGCAACCAGTGGAGATCTTGAAGCCTTTTTAAAAAGCTATCCCTTGGAGATGGTGGGCATTGCGATAGAGGCGACTAGTCTATATGGGCTACTTGGTCATGGGAGAGGCGGTCTGGATCGTTGAACTAAACACGACCTATAATATCCCAATAGTATCATACGAGAAATTGTCCAGGGAACAAAAGCTCTGGACAAAGGTCTTTTTTGGGGGATATCGTTGGAAACCCGAAATTCCTTTCTCATGGTTTCACGGGAGACATCACAAGGAACGAGGTTTAATGCATACATCACAAAGCCGCGTATACACGCTCATCCTAAGCACCACGGCCTTTCTGGGAGCCGTAGCGCTGGCATTGTGGGTAGTACCTACCGGTTTTTTGCGTTTGTGGTTAGCTCTTTGGTACTGTTGGTATTGTTCTGGGGAACAATATTAAGAACTCTAACATCTAACGACACACAAAACTCGAGCTCAAAGGAAACAAAGATGTCGGCCAAGGATGGTTACAAGGAGCAATGAAGGTCCGTCACTCGTCCAGGAGAGCACCTATAATTTATTGGGTCTGGTGGTTTATCGATCGCAACAATGCTCGTGAGGGACCGGCGCCCGAAGTCGCAGGTCGGTCTGGTAGTTTTGATTGGGGGGCGGGCGGTTGGTGCCGACGGCTTGGCGATAGATATTACTGCCGTGGGAGCCCTTGGTCGGTGGAGTAACATTTCTACTTTCTCGTTGGAAACGCCGTTAAGGTGATAGAATCCTCCTTCCGCACCAGACCCTCATCAGAGGTGCCTGTAATTCCGAACATCGGCCTTGCGGTCAACGACTCGGAGGACAAAGAAGCAGAGAGTAATTCCACGGGCTGCGAACCAAATGGAAGCGCTAAAATTGTCTCTAGTTAAGTGATCTGGCCAGCGTACCTGCTGAGCATGTCAACAAGGATGGTCGGGGTAACTTGTGCCCGGAAGGTCCCCCTATTAACAGCTCAAGAGAAAAAGAAAACTTCCAGCCACGATCAATATCCGCTTTTGTATTCACGCTATCCGGTAGAATAGGGGCAATCGACCCAGGAGAACCGAAACCTCCACAGATATCTCTCGAAAACCGTTGAATGACAATCGAATTGCCCATCCCTCGCGGGGAAATAGCGCATCCCAAGCGTAAGGGTGGGGTCATCGCATTTCAAAACTGCCGGTGTGTGTGAAAAAAGAAGGCAAGAGTGGGTCCTCTCGCCCGTGGTCCACCATCTGCTATCTGTGTCACTGTCCCTGCTCCAGGAGCGATCTTGGCACATAGAGGGCCCCCTCAACCCAAAGTCACGGCCCCGAGCCCTCGCATGTCGTGATGAGCGACGGGTCCCAATTCAAGAGAGGGCCAAAGTGGGAAAGGGTCACCGGTACTTTGAAGGTTGCCTGTGTTCATATGCCGAATCCTATAACAAGTTAACCATCTACACGCAATTCGGCCTCGTCTTATAAAGGTCCAGAGCGCCACATCTCCAACACGGCCGTCAATACATCATCCCGCCCCACTAGCCTCAAATACATAAATCTCAAAGAGCATGCTCCCGAGACTCTAGACCCGGGTTATGTTGGATAACCGAGTGATATTGCATGAGTGGTTACACATCAAAGATGGGCGGCAGCGGAAGAATGCGAGCCCGGCCATGCCCTGGACAAAACGGTAGACGGCTGTCGGTATCAGGTTTATCCGTTGGGTTGCGGGGGCTGATACGTTCCACAGCGGAGGGTTCAACAGCTAGGAGTTTCTATAGCTTCGCTTAAAGTGCAGGTATACGTGCGGAATGGCATGATGGCGCCGTGATCGCGCAGGATTAGCACCGCCTACCGGTACCGGTAGCCGTCAACGTCACCAATCCAATACAGCCTCTCTAGGGCGGTTACGAATCCGTTCCCGTACGAGTACAGCGCTCGTACACTTTGGCGCTGTGCCTGTAAGATTGTCCGGGAAATCCGATCATATTGCGGGAAACTGTGAAACTTGAGTGCTGAGGGATGTGCTCGAGTAGATATGATACCGTAGATGGTTGAGCAGCAGTCCCCCATGCATGTTGGGTAATCGAGTGTTGGGGGATAGAGCCAGTGTTCCGTCCCGGACATGGTAGCGGGAAGGTGGAAAAATTGCCCCCCGTGCTGCCGTCAATGGCTTTGCAGTCGGTTTCACCAACAGCGGCATTCCGGGCGGGAGAATGATCTTCGCATCAAACGCAACGAGGGAATCACGGTAATTGTCTCATAGTACAGCTATGCTATCTACCACTCGATTCGGCCTTGTGAACAGAAAGCAGGCTGGTTGTTTTGTGTCTTCTTTTCTTTTTTTTAACATGCAATTGTTGTTGAGGAGGAAGGGCACTTTCCGTAACAAGACACAGCGTGACACACTGGAGTTTCTCGAAATGGGGTCCGGTGATGGCTGCATCAGCCTTCCTATCAGCAGCCGACATACTCCCTCCAACCCTAGGGCTGGATCCTATTGTACGGTACAGTACAGTACTTGCACTCGAGTACCGCACCGTACCGTACCGGTACAGCACTTCCAAGTTACACGTACTGTGTGGTCTTGCAGTACCGGTACTGTACTCGTACGAGTAGAGGAGAAGCATGGTAGATGCTCGCTTGTCCGGTCTCCGGGGCGGCGTGTGCGGGTACCAGCCTGACGCACTACTGTGATGCTCGAGTACACAATCCAAGGATAGAAGGATGAAGATAATACGAGCAATACGGTGCAGGTTCATCCCAGATGGTGGAGCTGGCTGGCGGGACTTCCTCGCTTTCCCCTTCGGCGCCTGTGGCGAGCACGTCTCTCCGCCTGATGGGCTTTTCAAGCGATTTTCATCGTGCCGGGACTATGCAATACAATGCCGGAATCGCTGGTGGTAGGAAAGGGGAGGGTACGATGTTTGGTGCAGTAGGTTTCGCGGAGAGCGATGTGGGTTTGTTTCTGCAAGGCCCGGGGAGAGCTCTTCCAGATTCAAAGAGACCGTGCCCCCCCGTTGGACGAGGGGCAAGGGCAGGAAAGGAAATGTGGTGCAGCGGGACACGATAAACTCATGCGCAGGGTTGAGATGCGAACCGCAAGTATCATACTCGTAGCAACCAAGGCTGCGGAGCTGCCTCCGTCCGCAGCAGTGGGATCGGCCACTGAGGGGGAGGGAGCCTCGATCAGAGGGGGAAGAGAGGGAAAGCAAGGGGGGGGACACTTGTTCGGCAAGTTCGAGTCCATTAGAGTTAGATCCCACCAATCCTTCTCCGGTGTCATGGGGCGGAATGGAGAGTTCACGGGCGAACGCGCGGCGTCCATAACCTACGAGTGGTTGCAGTGTGTGATGAAGCATGCGGCTACTCGTGCCCTACAAGTATGGCAAGGATGGCAAGGATGGCAAGGATGGGGTCACTGGAGCAGATCTGGGACCGAGGAGAAGGGGGGAGAAAAGGGTGCGTGCAAGCTCTGGGGAAACACGGACGAGAATTGCACTCTCAGTGATGTGGATGCTAGCTCTCCAGTAGACCGCAGCCAGCGGGGTCGGTTCTTGTCTCGGGTTGAGAAGGTCGCTTGGGAATGGAATCGGAAGCCTCGTAAATCTGATCATTTCCGTACCCGTATCCAAATCAAATATCGCGACCGCACCAGCGGATTGACCGTGATGCGCTATATAATCTTCAGTTGGTCCCGTGGTGTATACCGTAGTATGTTACCGTACTTTGTATGGGGTGTGAGGATAACTCTCGCTGTAACTTGACCTGCACTGCCCAGCATCTTGGGTGGGTCGGTTACAGGTAACCTGCATAAACAACGCTACGGCAGGAGTCCCATCTTCAGCCCGGGAACACAGCCACCGCCTGTACCCACCGCTCCGTAAAGTATCCGGACGCAAAAGTGCCAAGGACCCGTCCCTCGCACTCAGATTCGAGCATCTTGGCATCCCTATTTCCGGATACTTTACGCACTTGCGGGTACAGAATTGCTTCTCTCTTCTGGCTTGTGTCTTGATCGCCCCTGCTCTCTCTCCTTCTGCATCTCGCTCGCTCCCGGGGGGAAATAAAGAATTTCCAGCCCTTCCTGTCTCTCCCGTCATTTTTCTGCGTCCGCTCCCTCTCAACCCCCTCCCTTTTACCTCCCCCCACCGCTCCTTTAGCTGTATCCTTTTTTTCTTCCGGCCTGGTCTGTTTCCCCCTTCATTTCCCCTTTATACCCTTTTAATCATCCTCACTTCCTCCTCCACTTCAACAATCCACACGTTGTCGCCTCACTTCAGCCCCGAATAGTCTCTACCCCCTTCTCGGGAGGTCCTGTCAACTCTCCCCCCCTCCCCCTCCCCCTCCCCTCCCCTTTTCCCGGTTCTATACAAACACTTTGACCGTCGTCATGCGCAAAGGTTTGATATTGTTCCTGGTGTGCAACCTCCTCATTATTGGGTTTCTGGTGAATTTTCTGTTCACCCTCATCACTTTGCTGTTTGAGGACTGCTCAGCGGACGCCATTCATTCCGTCGATATTCCGGCTCCCAATTCGCAGCTCATCGATTCACGACCCCAACTGATCCCGAAAATCATTCACCAAACATGGCAGAACGAGACCGTTCCCGAGAAATGGCAGGGGGCTCAGCAGTCGTGTCTGGACCTGCACGGAGATTACGAGTATAAGGTTCGTCAGCCGTTATTCTCGTCCTAGGGGTAAAAACTTTAAATGTTGAGGGAAGGGTCTTGGCTGAATCAATTCGACGATCGTGCAGCTCTGGACAAATGAGAAAGCGAGGGACTTTGTAGCCAAGGAGTACCCGTGGTTCATCGGAACCTACGATAGCTATCCTTACCCCATCATGCGCGCCGATGCTATTCGATACTTCGTCTTGGCACATTTTGGCGGCATCTATATCGACCTGGACGATGTAAGTTGGGTGATGGATGGGGGAGGGGTCACGTTACCCCTGCTGATCATTTTCACTAGGGCTGCAACCGGCGACTAGATCCATTACTCTCGTACCGCGCTTGGGTCCGAAAGACCATTCCTACCGGCATTTCTAACGATGCCATGGGAGCCGTTCCACAACATCCGTTTTTCCTGCGTGTTATCGAAAGTCTTCAAACCTATAATCGTAATTGGCATGTCCCCTACATTACTGTGATGTATGGTACCGGCCCGCTGTTTCTCAGCGTTATCTGGAAGGAGTACATCCGTTGGGGAACGACCGAGGAGGGAAGAGTCAGAGTTCTCATGCCGGAAGAGTAGACTAACCCCTCACCGCTCGGGCTTGCCGGCCGGCTAATTGTGAGCCACAGATACAACAAGAATCCTTGGAGTTTTTTCGCGGTATACAAGGGCTCTTCGTGGCATTCCAGCGACGCCAAAACCATCTTTTGGATGGGTCAGCACTGGCTATTCCTGACTGTCTCCGGCTTTTCTCTTGCCATCACGCTGTACGTTACGGGGTTTTGGATTTACAAGAGACTCCATCTTCGCAACGCAAACTATACCGAGCAGCCGTCACCTTGGTGGTGGTGGCCGCGCCGGGAGGCCGCAGTCGGAGCTGGTTTCAAGAGACTGCCAAAGCACGAGGTATAGTTTCGATGACATCTGTTTGACTGTATGATTTTCACCGGGGTTGCAGGGTTTGTAGTATACGTCTTTTTAGTATCATTTCCCTTGTAATTTGGGATGGCGCTATGCTTTTCTGTTGCTATTTTTTTTTTTTTTTTTTTTTTTTTACCGGAAAAAAATATTTGCCATGTTTTGGAGTTGGTCGAGATGTCTGTTCGCTGGGGCCTAGAGGCAAACTGGGGGTAATGGATGGATGGAAGCTGTCGGGGGGGGGGCGACGTTTCACTTTAACTACAACGTTTTAATGGCCTGGAGGTATCAGGCTTTTTTAAGGGGCTTGCCCACCCCGTTTCGGTACTATAAAGAGCCATCGAGCTCTGGATCTAGTTTAGCTATGGCTATAGACGAATGAATAATGTCTCTCTCCCCCGGGCCGATACGTTAGATTTGTATCCCCGGCAGTGAAACGATTTTAGTCCGAGATTCACATCACTCCGCTCCTTTCATAACCCGTGTAATGAGCCCCGAACGACCAAGTGATGGTATACCAACCCCCTCCAGCTTCCTCTCCCATGATACCTCGTCAGGTCGTGCACACTCCTCATCCCCTCGCCCTCCTCTCCAACTCCTCAATCTCCCTCACGTATGCCCGCTCCCGCGCATCCTCGATGGCAGCGCGCCTGCGCATGCGTACCATACTCTCGTAGCCCCGCAGCCGACTGCCCAATTAGCCCCTCCCTCCCCCGCCCATTCTCGTGCAGTACAGGTGGAAACATACTTGTCAGCCTCAATCATGCTCCCAACAACGGTCGGGCACATCCATAGATAAACTTTGAACTGCACGGTCAGGCTACGGAAGATGGGGCTGGAGAGGTAGGCTGCTGCACCGGCTATGAGGGAGAATGCGCCCCACTGCGGGGCTGTCAGTTTTGCGGTAGGGGGGGAGAAAGTGACGGGGGGAGGACCCGGATTGCGCCGCTGACGGCGCCTTTGGTGGCTTCGAGGGCGGCGTGATCGGGGTTGCCTGAGGTGTACTAGTTAGCTTTGGCGGGGGTGGAGGGGGAGATGGAAGGAAGGTACCTGCATGGGGATCTGGGTGTTTTGGCATTGTGGGGGTCGTGTGGGATTGGAACTGGATGGGGTGGGGTTGAGGGAGGCGGATGGTTGGTGCTATGGATGGTGGATGGGTCGATGCGGGGGTGTCATCACTGGTACTGAGCCGTAGGGACTACCGTAGGCCCTGGTTGTATCATACTGGTGAGATGGAGTGCGTTGTGCTGTACCGACACTATAACAAGGTATTGGAGAAGATGGGCTACAGTTCAGGAGGACAGTACGGTACAGTAGTGCCAACGATAAAAATTAGAATTACACCATGGCATCTCCGGGTAGACGGATAGAGCGATTTCATACTCTGATCCCATGCTGAAGCCGGAGAAAAAGTAATGCATCATATCATAACAAGCCCGGTCCCATCCAATGCCGGTCAATCTGAAAACAGAATGCAAAAAAAAAAGGAAAAAGGGGGAACGAGAAAGAGAACGAGAAAAAACCTAAGAAGGTGAAGCGCTCCTCCTCCTGCCCGCCGCAATCTCCCTCTCTCTATCCTCCGAGCGTTTCTGCCGTTCCTCCTCCTGCTTCTTCCAGTGACTTCCCTACAATACCCCCGACGAAAAGCCAGCACGTCAGCAACCAACACCTCCAATCCAGGGAAGTCTATAACGTGATATCGGGAAGAGTGCCACAAACCTCCCGATAATCCTTCGAGATTCCCAACGCATTGCGCAATCTCTCACTCTCGACTATCCCCCCTCAAATATTAGCAGTCTTCGCCCCCAAAGGAAGAGAGAAGAAAACCCACCAGCCTTCGCCAGCGCAATCTCATGAACCTGGTGAGGTTTAAACACTCCCCTCTTCCCCCCTCCCCCAGCCTTGTCCCAGCCCTCCCCCTCCCCCTCCAACTCCTTCAACAACTTGTTCCGATAAACCTCGACCTGATCGTCAATCTCCTCCTCATCGACCCCTTCGTCCTCAAGCTTATCCCGGAGTTCCAAACATTTGACTTCGACACCGCGCTTGCGATCGTGTTCGAGGATTTCTTTGTCCGGCTGGCGTTGGCGGTATTCACGGGTATTAGAGTCGGCAGCGGAGGCGGAGGAGGGAGGGGGGTAGTCGCGAGGCCTTAGGTGCGAGAGGTTGCGCTGGACATATCCGCTTGTACCGCTGCCTCGGGGTGTGGAGAGACCGACGTTTGAGGACATGGTGGTGGTTGTTGTTGTGGTAGTTGATGGTGGTGGTGATGCGGTGTGTTGTGTTAGGAGAATGAAATTATGAAGCAACTGAACGATAAGCTTGTGGATGTTGTTTCACATTATATTTCTAAACGGCCCGGTTGGTCTAGTGGTATGATTGTCGCTTCGGGAGTTCCCCCAATGAACTATTCTTGGCATGTGACAGGTCTCCGGTTCGATCCCGGAATCGGGCCTTTGTTTTTTTTCCTACGACCCCATCATTTCCCCTAGTACTGCCTACCGGTAGGATGTTCTACTCCGTATACGCCCACCGCGTGATAATATCATCATCCCCAGCCGACCGCCCCACCACCGTTGGTGGGACCTGGAATGAAGCTCCTCAGTCTCCTCAACGGTACAGTCCCTCCGATGTTCTATAACGGGCGCGGAGAAGGGCCTGCTCCTGTGATTTCGACCCTGTAATGGTTCGAACAAGTCTGCCGATTTCTTTTCATTGTACAAAACATGAAGCAAACCTTCGGCCAACACCCTACTTTTGAGCAACAGAAGGCTAACTGGAGGGGGCACAGCGGATCTAATCCTCGATCTCCGAGCAACACAAGACCTTCTGACTAGTATGGATGAATATGGCACGCAATAGCCTTCAAATAAAAGATAAAGATTGAGAAGATGAAAGACTAAGAAACGAGTGACTGAGTACAGATATCGGAGATGAAGCGGAGGACAACTGGAATCGAATGGACATAGACCAAGAAAAGACAAAAGAATAAAGAGAAGAAGAACCAGCTTCCTTATATGCTTTCCACAATAACACCTTCTTCCTTTCACGCATTTCCTTCTCCTACCCAATCTTCCAACTTGTTTACCACTATCTCCTGCCCATGCTTGTCCATGTTGCTTTCCGAGGTAAAATGGTAGATAACCGTGGGTATAGTAAACTGTGATGCCGAGGTGCAAAGGGTAGAAGATTAAGGATCTTGTTGTTCTTCGGTAACTGTGAATCGTATCGGGTTTCATTTGGAGATAAGCTATTGTTTGATGTAGTTGACACGATCGGCGGCAAGTGCGGTCTCAAGATGTGTCTGGAACTAGAATGGTGAAACCGCCCTGGACGTCTTGTCGCTCTTGGTGAACTATGATGTTCCATGTGGTGAGCAGTCCAAAGAGAAAAACGTTCAACACCTACGAGCAATCGCAGCAACAGCGTTCGTTACCAACCTGAACCGCAAATATATTGATATCTTGGGCACAAACAGCACTATTACGGTATTATTCATCACCCTCAATCTCCGTAGGCACAGACAGGAGAAGGGATCTGGGGCCCTCTTGCATATAACCTTGTCAGAGTCTTGAAAGAAAGAAAGAGGCATCGAGACTTCTCTGGTACCCTCATCAAGTAAGATATGGGAGACCGAGTTTTCCAGGACCGTAACCGCGGGAATCTAGTCAAGCATCAGCCAATACCGTAACCTTCCCAGAAGCCCCGTGCTCTCAATTATCGCCAGCATTCACGGTGGAGGTGGTGGAGTGATTGTGCCAAGCTCTCTCTATCTAGTATTGTATCGTACTGAGGAATAAATACCCGTCATGCTGTGGACTGCACTGTACGATAGGTAGGTAGGTATATTTACTTGCTATTATACTAGATCCGTGATATTGATTTGTCATGTCGTGTCGCATGGCTGCTTCACCGAACTCTGTATTAAAAGAGTGGGATCATCACTCGTGCGTTCTTGGGTTTGTGGGTGGTGGGTGGGGTTGTTTATATGGCGCTATTGACTGGTTCCTGATTGTGCTGGGATTAAGGATTTACTTCATACCTATCCACTTGCGCACAGAATGGATGGATGGAGGCTTTTGAATCCTGATAGGGGTGGTATTCATCATACCGTCCGTTACAGTGGGCGCAAACATCAAGGGTGTGTGATGACAAGTCCCATATTACCTTAACTTACCTGCTTAGAGAGGTGGTGGGTGGATAGGATAGCTCGTTCGTTCGTTCGTTTGGAGATTGCGCACAACTTGGACGAACCCGTGAATGTGAGTTTGAAGTTGTGCAGTGGACAGATAACTTGGTTAGATGAAGGGAATACCCATCCGCCTCCAGTTACCTTCCCGTCCAACCTGACAATGGAATTTTTTTATTTTTTTTTTCCCTGCGCATTGTGCACAGGTCTGGAAAAAGTTATTCGCCCTCTAGTAGTAGTACCTACCTTCTCAAAACTTACTTACTTGGCTTGACGAGACGAGACCGGCCGGGAAGGTGGGGGGAAGAAGTGCCCCCAGAGAGTGAGGGGTGGGAGGGATAGCATCACACGATTCAATACTGGTTCACACGTGCAAGGGAAGGATGGATGGAGGAAGCGTATACATACCATCCCATTTACACACTTACCGTGCTCACCACTAGAACAATCAGCGGAGCTAAATATCATTCATCATATCATACCCAATTCTTCACGACCTGTCAAGTGATAGCAACTCTTTTTTTCAAGAAAACCCCGGACTAACCGTGCAATGAGCAAACTAGCTAACCAAGAAAGCGTGAGAAGTAGATCTCCCCTCCCCCCCTCCTATATAGTGCATGGGAGCACTCTCTGCAGGAAATTTCTTCATATGTACACATATACATATATACCGCATGCATGGTGCGAATTCTTTCAACCGATTCAAGAAAAAAAGTAAAAAATATCGATATAAAACTTATTGTACGAGGGCCGTCATACGTAAAGTATATAATATACACATAATATATATTATAATCAACGTTCCCTCGAAATCAAAACTCAGACTCAGCTAAACCCGCCACAAAAAAAAATCCAACCAGTGTACTAACTACTCTATCAGGAACATCCATCTCCCCTCTGCTTAGCCTTTTGAATTACCCTCTCTCTCTCTCTCTTCCTACCATGGGAACGTCAATTGGAATTAAATAATTTCTTTGGAGCCTTTTATCATAGCTGATTCACTTTTCCTTCTGCTGGGGCCGCTTTCCCGGACTGGTGGTACGATATCCCTCCGGGAAGGGAAGGGAAAGGGGGTAGGAAGCTGAGCAGGTCGCTTCTACCGCTCTTGGTTCCCGTTTGCCCCACCGGTACCCTGAGCCGCACTGCAGGAAATTGATCAGCCGAGTGACAGATTATGACTGACATACCGCCAACCCACACCATCCATAGCACTTATCGACTGGATGGAACTCACCGCTACTAATTATCGCTGCTCTGGTTTCCGAGATATGGTGCTGCCACCCCCAATCGCAGAAATGATCCAACCAGCATCCAGCCGAGTGTATTGTGACTTGATGCGCTCATAAGCTGCCACGCCATGGCACAACTCTATCCTCCAAAGAGCCCTGTTGCCGGTCGGTATTTGCCCAGCCCCCAGAGAGAGAGGAAGAGATGGGAGAGCAATGGAATGTAGAAAAAGAAAAAGAAAAGCGTTGAAAGGAGGGGGATTCGAACCCCCGCGGGCTAAGCCCATGAGAAACCCCGCCTTAGAAGGCGAAGAAGCAGAAAGCTTGAGTCACACGCCATAACCACTCGGCCATCCTTCCATTATGACAACTACCGTCCGAGTGAAACACTTGGGGCCTTGCGCAAAATCCGAGCTGCATTTCCACGAGGGTTTTCATAAAAGAATTGTCTTTGGGTCCATTAAATCTCTACTAAAGAGAGCTGGAAAGTTTATGGGAGGAAGAAAGGGCAGTAGGGTGTTACAGCACTCCCAACGTCCGAAAGAAAAAAACTCCCGTTGAAGTTGTTACGGTAGGATCATGGCGTATCGACATCAAAGATTCCAAGATCGCACCGGTATACCGTATCAAAAACCCCATCCCCTCTGTTGTCTGTCCATAAGATGATTGAGACTATTCAGTACAACGCACCAAGTTCTGAACCGCGACCGGTGGTCGGGAATCTGACACCAATCCCGTAATTTTCCCCTCTCCTTCCCCATCTACCATTCTAGTCTACTCGTACAGTCCTAACCATAACTCACGACGATTTCTGCACGGGTGGCGAACACGGCTAATTATCTGGTGGGCAAAAAGGGAAATACGGTAGTCAAGGTAGGGTAACACAAAATCACTCAACACTAACCCCTGTTCGTCACCACCCAATCTACGGTCGCCATGGGCACGGTGAAGATGGAGCCACTGCAGACTGGAAAAAAAAAATCTGAAAAATGCACAGCCAAGCATTCCAAACAGGACCGGTTAAATAAAGTCCAACCCACTCGACGATCGATCCGGCCGAAGCTTTTTTTCTTCTTCCCCCTCCATTCCTTCCACCCGACAAATATGTCCACAAACCCAACGCCGGCGCCCCCACCGCCCGACATCAAAACCGACCTTGCGCTGCTAAACACCCTCCATGCCCGTAACAAGAACCAGCACCGCTCTTCGAAATGGTATAAATGGTTCTCGATACTCCGGAGGAATCTCAAAAAGTTGGTTGCTGGAGATCAACTTGAGGCACGGAAGAGGTTTGTGAGGAGGGCCGTTGTGCCGAGGTGTTTTATGTAAGCCATGCCATTCCTCTACCGGGAAGTATGGGGAGGGGCTGATGGAATGAACGATGTGTTTTAGCGCATTTTCGACAGTTATTGCGAATAACCGGTATGTGTCGTTGGGACTCGTTCTCATGGGGGTTTTGGCGGGGGTAAACAGATTTGTCGGGGAGGAGCCGGTGAAAGTGGTGAAGGAAAGGGCGGCGGTGAGGGAGGAGACGGAAGTGGAGAAGAGGTGGGATGAGTATGCGGTGAGCTTGGAGGATTTTGGGGAGGCGGTGATACGCGACAGTGTGGAAGTCGATGTGGGAGAAACGATCAGACAGGCCGAGGGAGGAAGGGTGGTCCGGGATGAGGGTACCGTTTCTCCAGTTTCTCGAGCGATCAAGGAAGACAATGCTACAGCGGAATTTGATGAAGCTGTCACGCTTAGCACTACAGAGTCTGAGAGAGCCATTATCACGGCAATAGTGGGGAAGCCGTTAAAGAAGAAAAGGAAACGGATTATCGAAGACCTGTCGTCGCCCCGGGAAGAGAGCCCATCGTTGCTAGCGCAGCCGCAGCCCGTACCTGTCTCGGTGCCACTATCAGGATCTATATCTCCGGAGCCAGAGCTCGGGAGGAGCAAAAAGGACGATGCGGAACCTAGGAGGAAGAAAGGGAAGCGGAAGAAGAGGGATGAGATTGATGATTTGTTTGCAGGTTTATGATTCGAGGTGGGGGGGATAAATGTTATAATAATGACGATATTGATAACAATTATACGAATTCCCAGGTTCCCAGAGATTGCGATTCCCCACAGCCCTATTTATTTACCTTATAAATGTGCTACTATCCACGACAGTGTAGAGTGCCGCAGACCGTTTTTATATCCAATTCCCGGGCGCTTGAGAACAATACTGAGTTTATCGGCCGGGCCGTCTAACGAAGAAGGGATGAGGAAATATGATACACCACCGAGAAGGACAATGAGAAAGAAAGGTCCACTATCCAGAAACGCACCGGACCTGTAGTTATACTCACCCTGTAGCCAAACCGTGTACCATACCTCAACACCATCGCGGTATCTCGAATGATAACCCAAACCCCACCACCGCACCCCACTCTGAAGCCTCGGCCATCACCGCCACGGGACACGGCGACACGGCAAGCAAGCGGGAACATCCCGGTCCGCAATATCACCACCAGCCCTCCAATTACCCCTACGTCACCGTGCCAATTGAAAGTTTCCGGGTATATGCCCGAGGCCGGATCGCACCCACCCATGTTCGCCAAAACATATAGCACCATATCACATCCCTCCCACCGGCACCCCAGCCAAAGCTTGAATGTAGGTATCATGCCTGTATTATACATATATATATATATGTATATACCCTTTTCTAACCAGTTGATCGGTGAAGGGATATGCGGTCTTTGCTGTAAAGAAAAAAGAATTCGACGATCGATGGTCCTACCTAGCTAGCGTACCACACCGCCCTACCGTTTAGCATCGCTATAATATCACGACCCGCTCGGTCGAGCAACCCGAAGATATTTGTTATGTATGATACTGGGTAGTTTCCAAATGTATGATACAATACACACACACACACAAAGCACTCTATCTATCACTAACGTGACATCCAGCGTCTCGGGCATGCCGTACCCCTTCCTCCGCACAGGTGTCCTTTATCTTGTATCACTTCTACCGGATTGGGGTACCCACATACACACACTCTCTCTCTTTCTCTCTATCTATCTTCACTCTTCACCCTTAGTCATTAATGTTTCGTTTCTTGAAAATGTCTTGATTTGATAAAGATCGCTTACCTGCTCTTTGGTATTTGCATTCCCGCAGCAGAGTAAGAATCAACTAAGCAAAAAAAAAAGAAGAAAAAAACTCAGAGGATAAAAGCTATTTCAACCAAATCGGGATCCCCAAGCCTAAGCTTTCTTTGAAAAATCCCATCGTAGTAATAACATTACCATACGAACGAACAAATAAACAGTACCACACCGGCACATTCAGTTACCCCACAACCCGATCAAATCCCCACCCCACCCGAGCACATGGTACGGTACGGTACTATACTACCGATATCATACTCGTACGATGCACAACTATCTACCATAGACTTACTCTATTCACATAACAACTCTCAATCAATCAATCAATTTTCCAGCGAATACGGTATATGGACATGATAATAGCACACACCATCCATCAACTGATATACCGGTATATATATTATATAAAAATTAAAAAATAAAATAAAACTATGATAATAAAGCTTATTTATTATATAACGTGACAACCACCGCAATTAAATGAAATAAAATAAAATAAAATAAGGTAAAAATAAAAGATCGATTCATCATCATCCCCCGCACGGACGACCACAATCACTATATCCCAGACAGACAGACTGACAGACTGACAGACTGACGGACGTAATATATCCAAAACCAAGAAATTACATATAATGTTTTTCCGGTTCGCCCCATCACGCGGATGTTATCATAGTGGGAAAAAAAATTTCAAAAAATTTCAAAAAAGTTGGATTACATAATGCATGATACAGAAATTAAAATTAAAATTGAAAAGGGCCATCATAATTATCATCATATCACATCATGCCATATAAGACAAGTTACCGTAGTCTAACCACCGTATTAGAACTATAGCAGCCGATTGAACGATCGACAGGAACGATAACGGCACAAAACATGTTTTATCATACGGTATCATATCATGCCGACCGCGGTCGGGTTTACAAGTAGGAAAAGGTGCGCGATTTGGATTCTGGTTTTGTCCGTGCGTGCCCTGCCCTGCCCTGCCCTGTTGTCAGTTCAGTTCAGTTCGGTCGGTCGGTCGGTGGGTCAGGGTACGGTACAGTAGTCCAAGTTGCTGTATTGATTTTACAGGTAAATTATCATAAATACGGCAAGTCAGGAAGTTGGCTTGTGCGTCATTCGTTTAATTTTCGACTTCGGTCGGTCGGTACATACGAGTTACAAGTGCTTGTACTATACAGAGGCCTAGGTAGGTAGGTACAGTGCTGTACTGTGCTGTGCTGTGGGAGGCTAGGATACCTAGCAAAGGGGGGAAGGGGGGAAGGGGGGGGGGGCTGAATTTTCAACAGATCCAGGTACGGTGCTACAATAAATGCTCTGCTGTTTTTGAACAACGACAAGGTGATAACTTATCCACAGCCCCGTTCTCGTTTAAAAGTAAAGAAAAAAAAAAAGGAATTTCTTACCCCGCTGATCGGTTCTGATTGGTTGATTTGGTTGGTGGTCGGTACCGGCATGACACCTGCAACAACCAACCATATTTCGAGTGCGCGCTCGTGATTGCGCCTCCTTTGGCCAAGATCCTCAGGGCAGCTATACCGGTAGTCTAGGACGCGCCGATCGGGGCGAGTGTCCTCACCACTACCGCTGATTTTCATCATCACGGAACCGCACATCATGAGGTCTGCTGTGGCCTTCCAAACTCCCTATCAGAGTTCGGAGAAATTTTATCGAGTGATATATAATGACTGCAGTGAACCACCTACCTTCCCGGGATGGGGGTGAGTGGAATATTATTGAAGAACTGGAAAAATAGAGCCACTCTTGCGCAAAAAGTGCGGGATAAAGATGGAGGAGGGGGGGAAGGGAACATGGTGGAAAGGGAGATAGGGGGATTCAGTACGTAACCCGGCAAAGGAAGGGAGCGGAAGGAAAAACCATGCACAAAGCACAAGTGCGGATCCATCAAATAAAGTCAATCCAATCCAATTCCTACTCATTAGTCTTGTTATATATATCACCCTTTCCCCCCCTTCACAGCACCGAAATAGGTCGAAAAAAGAAAACCGCAGGATAAAGCCAAAAAGACGAAGAAAATTGTAAATGGGAAAAAAAGGGAAAGGGGAAAAGGAAAAAGAAAAGGAAAAAAAGTTAAGGGTAGAATATAATAAACGGCAAAAACCCGACTAAGTTAAATCGAAAAGCTAAAAAAAGAAATCTCCCTACCATCCCCAACCAACAAGCCAACCAACCAGCCCGTTTCCCACCAGCCAATTCCAAATCCAAGCCGACCGAACCCTACCCTACCCAATAACATAAAAAGTTTAATGGAAAAAAAAATTGAAAAAGAAAAGAAAAGCGGAAAACTCCCCGAATCACAAAAGAGAAGAATAAGAGAGAGTACGGAAAATAATTTTGTTTGAGGAATAAGCGTGAGACCCAATGAGATACAAGAATTGTAAGTAAGGAGATAAAAAAGGAACTCAACAAGATGGACAGAGGAAGATGGAAGAAAAAAGGGGGGGAAAGAAAAGTGACAGAGACCAACTTCCAAACGTCCTCATGATTCTTCGTTGGAATTTTTTCTTTCAAACAGAGCGAGCAAAGGAAAATAAAAGGAAAATAAATAAGGAAAAGTACCAATAGCACCTGGCTTTAAAAAGATAAAAATAAGAACCAAATAAAGTCAGAGCTTCATAGAACAGGGGGTGAGGCAAAAAAACAAAGTCACCATATCAAAATTTAATCGCCTATTTCACCCTCCATTCACGAATGGAACAACTCCCATGCCCTCGCGCATAACGCCAAAAACTCCTCCTTCTTTCGTCTCTTAGCCTCCTGTTCCCGATCCCCGTGATCACTCCCCATGCTCTCGTCCCGCTCGTATTCCGCCCTTGTCCTTCGCCTCTTCGCCGAGTGGGGGGGTTGTTGCTCGTGCATTCCGTGCACGCCCAATTTCGACGGGGTATGCTGGGGTTGCGGGGGACTCGGCGGTGTGGGGGGTTGGTGACCACCGTAATGGATTATCCGGGGTAATAAGTCTTCGCGGCCGCCCGATATGTTCGCCATCGCCTCCTCAGCGGATCGATGCTCTCGGGGGCGGGAGTAGGCCATATTGTTGGGGGACGGGTAAGATGGTCTGGTTGCGGGAAAGTACTGTCTACTAGCGCCCTCATCCGGGTGTCTTACACTCCTGGAGGATTCCGGGCCATCGGGACCGAATACATCACTAATCGGGGGCAATCGGTTAACCTGCTGTTGGTGATGGTGAGTAGTGGGCGGGGGGCCGTGATGCGATGGAGGGGGGTGGTTTCGGCCCGTGAATGACTGGTGCAGTGGTGCTGACTGAACTACGCGCTCGTTCGCAAACGCACGGTGCGGCGGTGGAACGATGGTAAGACTGCTCGGGGGTCTCCTGCGAGGAGTATGTGCCGATGACCTATCCCCCCCGCGGGCTGATGGCGGCTCGTCGCGGTCGGCCCTGGAGTTTGGCTCAGCGCCTCCGGTCCTCTCACCGCCTTTCACGTGGCGTTGTAGTCGCGATTCAATTATTGATCGCTGTTGTTCGCGCACAGATATGCTGCGTTGGAGTTGGTCGCGCATGGCAGGATCGTGTGTTGCGAAACCGGGAGACAGGCATGCCATACCGACATCCTGCATCGTGGCCAAGTGGCCATTGGCAGTTCGCGGTGTAGCAGCGGCATTGGGCCCGGAAGGTGGTGTAGGGCCATTGGATAGATGTAGTCTAGGCGGTCGGTGGCGGGACGGGGGGTCAGGAGAGGCGGGCTCTTTCTTTACAAAGATCTTTGGCAGTTCATTTCCGTTTCGTTTCCTAGACGTCCACCATCCACATGTCAATCATCTCTCCGCCAACACAACCTGAGACTCGAGCCGAAACGAAACAAAGGGATGAGATAGGAAAGTGAAGGAATAGTGCGACAAAAGAGGGAAGGGAGGGGGGGAGAAAAAGTGAGAATTACAGGTCCGGCGAACGTTGAGATCCGTCCGAGGCAGCTATCGCTGCCTTCTTCGATGCGGTTGAATTCTTTCCAGGGCTGGCGCTAGATGACTTTCCCAGCCTGCCAGCTGTCGACGTTGCTGTCGTGGACGCTGTCGTTGTCGTCGCCGCCGCCGCCGTAGTAGAGGCAATAGCAGTGGCCATGGGGGGCAGCCTCTCAGACCTGTCCAAGTCCGAGTGCGGTAGGGTAGGAGGAGGAGCAGATATCGCTTCCGTAGTCATGACGAGGAGGCAGTAATTAAGTAGACAATTAGTTTAAGGCCGGAATAAATATGATGGGTGGGATAAACGACAGACAGTCCGCAGCGAAAGGAAGCAGCACTAGCAGAAGACAAAATCCACGGCGAAAGGACTTGGTGAAGAGGGAAGGAAGAGGGAAGTGAAGGGGTGGGGCCGGGAAGAAGAAGGAGGAAGAGCAGTAGGAGAAGTAGGAGTACGAGTAGGAGGTGGTGGAGGAGGAGGGGGGGGGGGGGTGGAGGAGCGGACCTGAAGATGGAAATAACGCGGAGGGGGTAGGGGTGGGGTGGTGAAGCAGAGGGTGAGGGAGGGTAAAGCGAGCTAGGCGGAGAACAGAAAGGGCAAAGTGGTTCAGGAAGGGGGGGGACGTGGACAGGACAGGCTAGGATAGGGCCAAGAGGGGAGGGAAGGGAAGGGCAACAATTGAGTTGAATGGATGAGAAGAAAGGGAAAAAATAGATGAATAAATTGAGACGGTTAAAATAAAATGGTCGAGAGACAGCTAGGACGAGGGAGGAGAAGGAGAATGATCCGGAAAAAATCGAGAAAAAAGGGATAAGGAATTGGCAAGGGAGAAAGAATTGGGCAGGGGAAAGGGAGGAAAAAAATTGTAAGGAATATGTAGGCGAAGGACGAAGGGGGCGAGGCAGTTACAGAAAAAGTTTAGAAAAGAAGCCTTGTATCTGCTAGGATTGCCCGGAGGTCCAGAGGATTATCTTTTCTTGTTACAGTAAAATTGGCAGAGTGTACCCAGAATCAGCCAGAGGGTAGATACAGACAGGGCACGCACGGGGCAGAGCAAAGTACCGGCGGAGAGTCACTGTAGGTGAAGATGAGGTAAAATAGGAAGAGGAAGAGGAAGAGGAAGAGGAAGAGGAGGAAGAGCGAGGGAATCGAATGCCATAGGAAGGAAAGAAAGGGTACTCTCTTCACTATTCTGCAAAATACCGCACCCGTCCAAAAGGGACAACAACTATGATTCCGGTACGAGAAAAAAACCTTTCCCACAGATATAATACGATGCCGGTACCGGCACCCGAGTGTCCCAAGTATCTCAATCAACCCAATTCACACACACACACACCCTCCCCACACAGACAGCAGGACAAGCAGAAGCAGAAGCAGAAGCAGAAGCAGAGGAGAGAGGGGAAAAGAGAAAAGAAAAGAAGAAAAGAAAAAAAAAAGGAACGAGAAGTAAACAGGGGTCCGTTTCTGCTTCTGTTTCCGCTTCTGTTTCTCCTCCCCCCTCCCCCTTCCGGATAGATTGGACGGTTCCGACGAGTACGCGGAGGAATGCTGAACTCTACCGTGCAATGGGAAGATGGATGGATAGGGTGGATTGATAGATAGCTGGACAGATCACAGACGGTCCACTGGCTGCACTCGCTCGCTGTCCGTTCTGTCGCTGCTGGCGTTTCAAACTCGTCGCTCTTCCTTACTAAATCCCCCATTCTGGCCCCCTTAAATACGGGGGTAGCGGTTTCATCTTTCCCTCAACAGCAGGACTTGCGGGCGCCTATGAAACGCTTCCTTCTCACACTCTCCACTCCTAACCGTACATACAATACTCCCCCACTTGCATACATGCCCACGGTACACGCATACATACATATCCTACACACAATAGCCGAGTCGAGTATTATAGTGATAGCAAATCCTCCCGACCACCGGGCCTTCCCATCACTCTGCGGCGGGGAGGAGGAGAGGAGCACCATAGATCACGAAGGGGTGGGAAGGCAAAGCAAGGTGAAGAAGAAGAAGAAGAAGGGAAAGGGGAGAAGGAAGCCTTTCCCACCGCTTCCACCCCCCCCCCCCAATTCTCTCCCCAACCAATTCCTCTTCCCAAACAGTACTCGAGTGCAGCACAGTATCGTGTCGTTTCTTCCTTTCCTTTCCTTTCCTCTCCTCCCTCTCTATTCCCCTTCCCCCGCGCCTTCCTCCCTCCCTTCCCTTCCCAGCTTGCCCTAACCGCTTGTACGAGTACCCCACCGCGCCCGGTTTCTACCATCAATCCACCTGCTTCATTCACCCATGCCTCCCTACCCACCGCATACATTGGCAGTTGGCAGATCCACTCGCAAGTCATAACGAATAAACAACCGACTAGCCCCCCTCCAAAAGAAATAATGGAAAGGAAAAAAAAAAAAAGCGAGAGAGAGAGAGCCAACAGCAACGGGTCACAAAAAAGATACCTTGCCCGAGCCGAATGCGACGTGATACCGTAGCTTGTATGTATGTAGGTGGGTGAACGAACCAGCAGATATCGACACCCTTCCTTCCCTGCTACGGTACAAAAGCAGACATGATAAATCCACTCCATGCCGCGGAACGTTTATGGCAATTGGAGTGCGTGCCTGCACCGCTTTAGGCATGATTGCTCGGCCGCTTTGGGAGCTGCTGTGCAGACACAGCATCACGCTTGCACCGTACGAGTACAAAGCTACTCACGATGTAATGGACGGACCATGGTATCGGTATCGTATCGGTAACGATCACCGTGTGGTGGGTGAGAGAGAAAGGGGAGGGAGAGGGGCAGAAGGGAATGAGCGTCGTACGGCATTGTTCTCTATCCCCTTCCCCCCTTTTTTCCATCTTTATTTTTATCCGATACGGTTGACTTTTCTCAGTATAAAGAAGCCGATTGTGGTGGTACTTGTACTAGTACCAGTACTCTGCTGTGCTCGCACACAATGCTTCCAGCTCCTGGTCCGGTATGATAAATCGTCTTGCCTGTTATGGGTTTTGCGGTACGGTGCCTTACTGTAGCCCACCGTACGAGTGCCCAGTACCCTACCCGTGATGGCCGGATGGGGGGATACCGTAGGTGGATGACACTCGTACCTTATTGATGGGGGAGGGGGGGGGAGCATTACGGTGCTTTGCAGGCACTCGGATCGTATCGTAGTCTCCTACCGGTACCGGTAGTGTCCGTCAATCTACCGGTATCCATCCATCACCGCCGTCTTCACCCCCATTGTCATTAATAGAGCTTGCACAGCCCACATTGTGTACCGACACCGCAACAATCAACCAGGACAGGAACTTGCAACACAGTACGAGTACAGTCGCAGCATAAAATTTCAGTACTACGATGAACGGTGACGAAGGAGGAAAAAGGAAAAGAGGAAAAAACACCCCGATCCCCCCTATCTTCCTGACTGGATCGGAGGGGAAGGAAAACGGATGACCCTATTAAGCGGTGCTGTACGAGAAAGGATTTCCCCATTCTCTCTCTTTTTCGTTTCGCTCACCTCCCGCCAAGCATCGCGTCCAACCATTCATCATCCTTGTCGTCCTTTTTCGGAGGTCCTGAACTCCTGCCAAGACCGCTTCTTATCTCCCGTGACCCCGCTGCCGGTCCTCCAGGTACGAGTACCGACACTCCTCCGCCGGTGGCCGCCATCCTAGGGACGGACGAGGGTATGGCAGTGAAGGTACCACTTGTACTCGCGGTGCCCGTATTGACTATTTCGGAACCATGTGCCGAGGCACCGCACAGCACAAGTCAGCCACAGATCCCCCCTTCTTTCAATCCATTCCCGCTTCATGAATATCATCAAACTCCCCAAGCCCCCCAACTTGTATCCACCTCCAATCAATCCCCCACCCTCTATTTTTAGACGAATCCTCAATAACCCTCCATCCCCCACTCCAACCAATAATCCCCTTCAGATCTCTCTCTCTCTCTCTCTCGAAAACAATAAAAAGGGAGGAGAATATGGCTCTCACCTCCGTCACGAGCACGATCCAATCCCTCAAGGAACGAATCCAGATCATCATCATCGTCACCCTCCACCTCTAATTCCGGGCGAGACTTGGCCTTCCTAGTCCCAAACCTCTGGCGGAACGCCTCGGCCGCCGTCTGCTTCGATATCTTCTCGGTAACATCGACGAATTGACTTCTAGGAACCCGAACAACTTTCCTCGTTTTATCACCCCCGTCCCTGTCACCGTCCCGCCGAGCGCGGGAGCCGGACGGCACGGAGGTGGAGGCAAAAGTGCAGGAAGCCTGGAAGCTCTCCCTCAGGAATTCCTCGTCTACGTCTTCGATTGGCGGCGGCGCATTATTTTTGGCAGCAGTGGAGGAGGGGTGTGAGAGGTCGACTTCTTTGCCAACTGTTAATCTTGCGTAGTCAGGTTCGGGGTCCTGGGTGACTGTGCGATAGGACGTTAGCCATTTACTTGCCCGCTCTTGACGGAGAGGTTAGACACCTGGCACCGCGCCGGGGATTTCCTCTTCTTCTTCGTATCGCCAGGCGTTGTTTTGTAGCGTGCGTTTCCGGAAGGCTGCCGAGTCTCCTTCATCTGAACCCGATTGCTCATCGTCTTCGCTACCGCTTAGACCCCCCACCACAGCCTCCTCCTTCTCCTTGCCCCTCACTTCGCTGCCGGCCGGTGGTGCGCCTGGTACGGGCCCTCCTTCCCCAACCCCCCTCTCCCCCTTAGCTTTCGCCCCATCAACAACCTTCCCGGCAGCCTTCAGTTTCCGCTCATGCGCTTTCGTAGCTTTTCGATCCCACTCTGATCATCTCGTCAGCCCCTACCATCCAGCCACATGTAGCAAACAGGCAAAGCGAAACAAAACAAAACAAACGGAGGAGGAAAAAAAAAAGGAAATGAAAAAAAAAAAAAGAATGAAAAACTCACTATTCTTGTGTAGTACCATTTCCAAAGCCTCTTTCTCTCCTATCACCACGGAATACCCTTACCGCCCGGAGGCTCAATTTTTTTTTCCTTCTTTCTCGGCCTAGGTCTATGGTACGCGCCTGTGGGACGGTACGGTACGGCGACAAAAGGCTCCGTATGATATGTGTGATGATGGCACGGGTTGTGCTTGGGTAAGTGGGTTAGGTCAGTGGGGCTGGCTTACATACGCCAGGCGGGTGGGTGGGTCGGTTGGTTGGTCGGTTCATCGGCGCCAGCCACATACCGTAGCGGTTGGAGGAATCCGGAAGAGGACCGGAGCACGGGGCGGCAGCGGGAACTACGGTATGATAATTGGTTCCAGAGGGAAGTACGGACCAGACGAGCGGTTCGTGCGGTTATCGAGAGACGGTGGGATACCGTATTGTCTGTTCATGGTTGGGCCGCGGGCTGGTGGGGCGCCGGTACTCGTTTTTTGTTCGCTCGCGGTTACGAGTACAGTATTACCGGTAGGGATTAGACTCCACAAAGACTCGTACGGTTTCTATTGATAGAAATGAGGGTACTTGTATCGCAGAATTGACGGTATCGCTTCCCTTCAATGTTGGTGGCACGGGGTGCTCGACAAACTCGGTTACCCTATCATATCAATCAACGGTGGCCACAAACCCACCCTGATTCCTTACCCGCTCTTCAAGTTGCGTCTTGAGCTCTCACGGGCGATCATGATACCCGTGCCATACCATTGCCGATATGATATCATTCCCGGTACTGGCATTAACCTAACCGCCCAAGTTTCGATACGATAGCTCGCGGTATGATATCTGGCTATCGGTAGCGAGGCCCTTCCTGAGGTCGTAGGTGTGCAGTACTATAGATTGGAGAGATGGAAGAAGACACACTTCCACGCTCGACAGCCCAATACGGTAATCGGTGAGCTCCCGACTAGACTAACTTTAACCGGTACGACCAGTTGCGCGGGCCGAAAGGATTTTGCGGGATTCCCTTCAATCTGTAGCACGGGACACTACGGCACAGTGCCGTGCTCTTTGTGAGTGCTGTGATACCGGTACGATACTGCGAATTATATTATAACAATTTCTATGATATGATACCACTATCACTACCGTATCCTCTTCTCTCCCTCTCTCCCTTTTTTCTCCTTCTTCTCTCGAACCGGAACGTACCGTGTGACACACCACAACCGCTTTTCGTAAAAATAAAAAAAAAGGTTTCTCATATCATACTGGCGCCCAGCCAACCACAACCATCCCTGGAAAGCACTTCACTACCGACAACTTGACTTGACGCTCTTTCTCACCATTCAGCATCATTCCAATAATAATAATAATAAAAACACCCCCGAAAATGAGATGGCCCCGGGTCTACAGAATCTATTCAGAGCTCCTGCAATTCATTTCCCTCACCGATAATAACATCTATCATGTCAAAATTAGCTTTCTGGAAGCACGGGTACATCACAACCGTGATCACAAACGCGGCTGTGCCGGAACCGTACGGGTATGATACACCGCCACAAACGAAAACCTAAAAGTATGATATGAATCAACCGGCCCGTACCGCCACCAACAATCCACAAAAACCTAATATATATATATACAGGATACTTGTATATACTCGTACGGTATACCGGTATGGGAGGCAGTAGGTTGTCGAGTCGATGTGCGAAAATTGGGGTCGTAATTGATGTAATAGATTCGATTCGATTCGATGGCTTTCTGGTGCTGTATTGTATGGTAATAATGTCATTAACGCTATGATATACCGGTACCCTATTTATTTATATCAATATTGTAATGGCTACCTACGCTCCCCGAAACCTTTTAATTTTAATCTTGGTTTAATACTTGTAATGTGTTCGAAACCTGGTTAAGAACCCATCTGGCCGATTTTTTTCAATTTTCTTCTTCACGTGCCGGTATTATGTCAACACCTTTACGGTACTGTACACACGTCAACGCCTCTATGTGTAATAGTGAAGTGAGTGAGTGGTATGATAAACCTACAGTACGGTAGGGAACGTCTCCAACCGTCCCTTCACTCACAAATAGAAAACAAATAAATAAATCCTCGACTACGGTACTAGTACAGTAAATTAACCGTACTCGAGTACACTGCTAAACACCGTTTCAAACCCCGCGAGGATAAAACTCGCGTGGCGGCGGGATAGTTTCAGGTACCGAGGGTAGACAGTACGAGTACTAGTACTAGTACAGTACCGTAGTGTGCTCGAGCACGATTTCGCGGGTAGATTTTACAAACGGAGCGGGAACAAGCGGAAAATTGTCGGATGGAGTTGGTCGGGGTTGGCTTTTGTATCATGTTGGGTACCGTGACGGCGGTGTTATGTGTCTTTGGGTGTTTACGGTGCTAGTACGAGTAACTGTACTTGTACCGTGCGGTACTGTAACCCAGTTGAGGTTGGAGAGGTCCGTGCATCGTTTTACGATACTGCACGATTTCATCACTCGTTCTCACTCGGCGGCTGTCTTTGCGGTATCGTGTCTGTTTGGCCGGTTGTGTTCTTGTGGGATGTATATAGTAGAGTGCGGTGGTTGTCGTGCTCCGACTTGACACTCGGCATCGCGCAAAAACTATGACGCTGTAACTAACGCTCCTACAGTTTTTGGTATTCCGCGTATCGTACTTGGATTAGAAGGAAAGAAAGAGAGAAATAGAGAAAGAAAGAAAGAAAGAGAGAGAAACCCACGACTACTCGCCAAAATCAAAAGTCTGTCCCCGACCTTTACCTAGGCGCAACCGACCGAACCATACCCTGCTTGTAAAAATTGGGGCTCACGGGGCTCACCTTTCATAACCTCTAGACATCCCTAGTGACCCTGTTTTCCAATGATATTTTATTTATGGGCAATGCTATCAACACAATTCTCCCGTCGTCGGGGCTGTCAGAGC